TTGCATGTGAAGTTTTAGTGCAATAGTGTGAATCGAATTCTACTTGTACTACTTCACTTTTATTTGCCTCTCCTCATATCCATAATTTAATCTTTGGGGGAAATTCTACCTTCTGGGGCTGTTATTTGTATTCTGGGGGACACATTTTTAGATCGTAAGAAGTGCTGAGATGGTGAAATGGATATTTCCACTGGTCATCCCAACAGAGAACAGGCAATACAGGAAGGTGAATTACCCTGTGAAGGGGTTTTTCACTCTCTTTCGTGCCCTTTAATACAGTATGGGTCTCATTCACTACCCATATATCAAACCCTCTTATCACATCCTTGTCTCTTTCTTCATAAATGGACGTTAGACACAAGATTAATTAAACATGAGAAAATATCAAATGAAAATCATACCTGCGACACTTGAGAAGTTGCATAAAATTACCTACAAAGAATAATTTAAAATTATTCGTCTGGTGTCCCAAAATGTAGAACCATCAAAATAGACCATTTTATTGAAAACAATACTTTCTCTATCAGTACTATTTTACTCTTAAAAGTTGAAGACACTGTTCATATATTATGCTTTCTGGAAGCTTTGTTTTAGTTATTCTTTTCAGCTCTTTGTTCATGTGGTAAATCTGAATTGCTGAGGAAAATTTCTTTCTGTTCTCCAGTACTAAAGAGTAAGGGCAACAAGAAATTTTCATTTTTTTTATTGTTTAGGCCAGCTGCCGAAGAAATTTCCTTTGGAGCCAGCTGCCTGAATCCTGAGGGAGCCAGATCACTAAAATACCTCAGCATGAAATGTCGCAACCTGTCCCCCGGGCCACTGGGGACACAGGTGCCTCCAGCTCCTTCAACCCTCAGACTCTGCTCTCTGCTCATGAGCAGGGTCTCCAGTGCTGCCACAGCCAGATGTCTGTCTGTCTGTCAGGAGCTGCACACAAGGGGGGGTCACAGCAGCCCTGTCTCTCTAGAGAGGCTCAGGGCAACCAGGGATCCTGACGATGCCAGCAATCCAAGTCCCAGTCCCAGCACTGTCTGTCCAGCAGCCAAAGTGTCTTGGGCTGTGCAGCTCAATCAATGTGGAACAGCCCCTGTGCTCCTCAGGGACAACTCTGAGTTGCTCAGTTAGCCACAGGAAGATCTGTCTTGGATGGAAATGCTGTCATCAGGAGCATTTGCAGTACACCATAAAGAGAAAATGCACCTGAATGGAAGACTCAGCCTAATTTTGCTTTGGAAATGGACTGGAGAAAAGATATGAGGTGGAAGATGGGTTAATATAATTTTTCTGGTTTGTTCATTCTCTTTACAGGAAACAGATAAAAATACAATATAAACATAATTTTCAGTGAAAATTTCTCTGTTTAGGCACCATAGGCAACACTAGACCAAATAGAAAGATACTTTTCTTTTTCTCTTTTTTTTGACGATTGGTAAGAATCTAGAAGTAATTGTCATGGTTTGATGCTGGTCCAATGCCAGCCTCCCCCATGAAAATATATTTTCCCTAGTTTCTGCTGTGAGATGTGACCAGGATTAGAGCAAAGCAGGCTCCAATTTAGGAATAAAGAAAAAAACTTTATGAACCTACAACTGTATGTAAAAAGAAACATACACAGAACTCAGAATGAAAACCTTCCAAAAACATTCCTCCTCCCCCCCACCCAATTTCTAATACATAACAGCAGGACAAAACCTTGGATTCTCAATTCAGTTACCACTCCTCAGAAAACCAACTCTCAGTCCATCACCACCCTTCAGATAATCAATTCTCAGTTCATCAAGAAGAGAGAAGTCCCTCTTGTACCATAGGCTTCCCCTGGAAACACAGTTGAGACGCCTTGTGTTTCCATGTCCCACGTGGCACCATCCGGAGAACATGTGCCCTTGTGACCTCTTCCTTCCATACCCACTTCCTGTCGCAGACATTTTTTCATAGAAATCCTTTCTTTGGGACTTGTTCATCTTCTGGGAAGCTGAGGCCCCAGAAAGAGAATGTAAATAATGATTATCAGCTGCTGTGAAATGCAATAGGATGCAACTGTGATTGGTTCATGTTCCACGTGTACAATTAAGGGCCAGTCACAGGGCAAGCTCTCTGGAACACAGTGACAGAGAACTCTCTTGTTTTTAGATTCTTTTCTATGCTATTCTTAGCTTAGCAGCCTCTGCAAGTTCTCTCCCTATTCTTTTTAGTATAGTTATAATGTATTGTATATCATATATCAATAAATCCACCCTTCTGATCATGAAACAAAATTCTCGTCCTTCTCTCACTCTGGAGACCTCATCAGGTCGCTGTAATAACTGCCCATGGATCAGAGCTGCTTCTGGGATTCCCCTTTTAAGGATGCTTGGCCCAGTTAAAAAAAAAAAAATAGTTCTGTCTGTGGCTGTACAAGAAAAGTCTAGCCAAAAGCCACTCCATCATCTCCTCCCACCTAAGATTCTTCTCAACTTCTCTCGGACATCTTTCACTTGCACAAACGTGCATCACACTGGCCCATTTCCTCCTATTTCATCTCTGTCTCTCTTCTCATTCAGCTCCAGGAGGATCAGCATTTGTAAGGTTTCCATCATCCAAGAAAAGGGTTAAAATCTCGGGCTCTGCCTGCCCAGAACTCCCGCACTGCCCTGCTGGGCACCTTCTCTCGCTGCACCCTCGCTGCACCCCCCGCTTCTCCTTCGGTCAGGCTGCCAGTACAGGATATCCAATTACAAGGGGGCACAGGCACAAAAACAGGCGCTCTCTCCCTCCCTCTCTCTCTCCGGAGGGGGGGGATGACTCCATCCTCCCATCCTGCAGGGGCCTTCACCTCCCCTCTCTGTCCAAGGCCCTACCTCACCCAGCCGCATGGCTTCCCCTCGCCCACCCAGCCCGCAGTCGCATCCGGGCAGGGGGGCTCTGATCTCTTTCACCAACCGGAACCAAGAGAGCTTCCCCCTCTGAGACCTCTGCTTTTAACCCCCTGTGTTATCAGAGACTTATCCATGTCCTCAGTGGCCACACCAGGTGGCAATATTAAAATCTGAGCACCTATTGGTTTGACCACAGCATCCCAAAAAACTCACTTCCTTCAAACCAGGACAGTAAAAACTCTCCGGGCTCTGTTATTGTGTCAGTCAATTATGTCTTACCTTCAAAACAGGTTCCCAAGTTTTTCTGAATTGATTCTCACACTCACTGGCCTCATCTCTGCTTACTTTTCACTCCCTCAAAATGTCACTCATCCATCCTGTTTCCTTGTCTACATTCATTTTGGCATGCTTGCTTTTCCATTTTCCATTCTTCCACCTCTTTACCCCCCCTGAATGCAAGGGCCCACTGAGTATCTCTAATGGAGCAAAAGCACATGGGGTGTTACTGCTCTGAATAGCTCTGTCCTTCAGAGTGAGATTGTTAAGGGGACAAAGGGTGTCCTTAACAATCTGAATTCAAACCTTGGGATGACACAGGAGAGGAAAAAACAGCAAAACCAGGTCATGGTATGGTTTTGAACCAGATCAACAGGAGCAGAATAATAGCTGAGCCTTTTTTTGTTCTAGGACTGTCATCATGTTAGTCCTTGCTAAGTGATTCCTCTGGTGTTTTTAGGCCAATTGCTGCCTGATGGAGCAATAGTTTAAAATTGCTGCCTTTACCCCCCATCAAGTACCTATTACTTTGGCTTCCCTTTTCTAAACATAGAGTTTTACATTTACCTTTACTAAACTTTGGGTTCCCTAATCTTCTCAATGTGTAATATTTCGAATTGTTTTGCCTTTTTCCTCATACTTTCAGCCCTCTCTTCTGATCCCCAGACTTTACAAGTCAGTCATTTATGATACATTCTATGATTTTAGTCTGCCCACCAGTGTTAAAAACAAGATTGAATGTGATCAGAACTCACCACTAAAGGAGATTGCTTTAATTGCCCTCCCAGTTCTGCTATTAGCCAGTATATGCAGTGTGACCATAAGCAAACTATTGCAAAGAAGTTCATCATATCCATGGGAACAAGTGCATATTCCTGAAAGTATTGCTGCTGCTGACAGTGTTTCTGAATGCCTTGTATTGCTGTTGTATGAATTTCTAAGTCTACTTCCAGTACTGCCATTTCTATAACCACATTTGTACATTGCCATCTCCACATCAATTTGTGTCTCTTAAGTCACATAATTTCATAATTTCATGACTCCCAAATGCTGTCATCTCTTGTATTTTCTGTCAGTGGCTTACTCAAGAGGTATCTTAAGGACGATCACAAAGTTCTTTAACATAATTTATATTTACTCTTTCATTTTCTTCAAAATGTTCCATATTCGGTTGCTTTGTCATTTTTGCTACTACATTCCTAAGTATCAAGTCAAGGTGTCTGTTCTATTCTGATTCTTCCTTCTCAAGTTTTTAAACACTGCTATTATGAATGTTCTCCTCCAGGAATCTGCTACCTTTCTGCTTGCTTACAGATAACTTGCAGTTGTTCAAAGATGCCTTGTCACAGGACTTTCTGCTGCTCTGCTTTTGAGTCCATTCATTTATTTTCTAAATGTTCTAACTATTACTTCTAGCAATCCTATTTCTTTCCAAAACTCTGCACATTCACTTATATCCAAGCAGAATCAACCAGATTTTGAAGAATGAAACAAAAAGTAATTGAATATTTCATTATTTCCAACTTTATCTTTTATGTTTACACTTTGTCTGCTCAGGTCATGGATCAATGAGTTGGCGGGGACTTTTCCTGTTTTTAATTCAGCTGTACATACAGAACCACATTTTGCCCTATTTTTCCAGAACAGGTCCCTGGAAAAATCTGAAATACTCTGTCTAGAGAGGCAAATCCCAATGGCAGTACAAGAGATCTGGGTAGAGCAATGTCTCACACCATCACTCCTGACAACCCCGCTACCTCAACAGAAGCATTTTCATGAATGACACAAAGAAAGCAGAGGGCTTCCAAGGGAAGACCACAAAGTTGATATGGCTCAGGGATACCCTCATCACAATTTCCAGTACTTAAAGGGCAGCTACAAAGAAGATAAAGGCTCCCTATTCACCAGACACCACATGGAGAGGAAAGGAGGCAGTGAGGTCAAGTTTCAATAGGGGATGTTTAATCTTGATAAATGAAGTAAATTCTTTACAGCAAGAACAACCATTTGCTGGAACAATGCCTACAGAAATGAGGTAGAATCCTCATCACTGGAGGTTTTCAAGGCATGATATCTAGATAGAATCTCACCCAGGCTCCCTTTCCCATGAAAGGTCGTACCAGATGATTTTTCAAGGTCTCTTCCAACCCAAGCTGCTCTATGATCCTATAGAAAAGAGTGCTTCCAAGTGACTCTTGGCTGTTAACTTCAGCCCATAATCTGAAATCCATCTTGGTATTTTACATTCAGAGAGATGAGGAGCCTTAAAAATGCGGATCCATATTCCCCTTCATTCAGCTTTCTCTAGCTTTGGTTTATTTTGTGCTGAATTCATGGAGGATCTCCTTTGACATTAGACTTCTGTCAAATCCCTGTTTTGGCCAGTGATATTTTCTGTGAAGATGTTGACTGATTGGAAACATTTTTGAAGAAAAAATAATCTGCATATTAAATAATTAGAAATCATCTATAAAGATAGAATTTCTCTGGAAAGAAAAGAGGCATTTCCTTCCAGGTGACAGCCTGAACAGGGCTATTAAGATTTTGTAAATATAATTAGTTGCCATCTTCTTCAGCAAATGAGTGTAGCGTGAAGTCTCACACTAAAACAAAAGGCTCGCCACTGTCACTGTAAGGGCTGCTGCAATGACTCTTACAGCAATTTTAAGGTGCTTGAATCCTTTGATCTAGGTTTCCAGTGTATAGAATTCAGATGGTCTGAGTCTGCCTTGCAAAGTTCTTATTCTAACCATATTTCATTTGTCTTCAGGCTTTGCAGTACAAGTCATACTTCAACTTTTTCCCAAGTTTCGTTCCTGCTATATGTTCTTCAAATGCTCTGTCCATTTTCTCATTCTGATCTTCAGTGAAAAGATTCTTCCAGTCACTTACACCACCTTCAAAGAAGCAGGAACAAACTCTTGAAAACCAAGACATTTCATTTTCTCTATATTCTATAGAGGTGTCATTTTTATTGCATTGTACACCAAATCGTGTTCATCCATTTTCCAGATTAAACATTTTTCTATACCAATATAATTTTGTGCAATCAATGGACTTACATATATATGTGAATCATCTTTTGCTGTAATGCCAAAGAACACACTGCACTCTGGGACACCATTTTCAAAAAGGCAGCCTAAAATCCTGTTTCACTCCATCTCTTTCCTCTAGACAGCTATGACTGGAAAAGTGGAAGATCCTGAAGAATTAATTAAGAATCATCTGCCAGGAGGCAGAGCTGATGTTTTGCTCCTTTGGCAGCTTTCCTTTTTATCCAGTCATTTCTTTAATGTAAATTGCAGAAATAGATTCTGATGACCCGGATGCCCTCCTCATGTCCATGTCCCCCACACTACACTGCAAAGGTTACTCCCTTCCCTTCCCTCTCTTGTGTCCACCTGGATTCTTGCTAGCTTGGCTTACTTCTAGTGTGTAAGAGCGAACAGGAATTTGGCAGTGGCCATCTCAGAAGATTCCCATACTCTCCTACAGTGTGGTCACTCCACTCAGGCTGAGTTTGGCCCAGTGCTGCCAGCTCCAAAGGCTGGGCACTTGGTGATCCAGGCACAGAGGTGGAGAGGAATTCAGACACATGACAGTTCCTCCTTCCTGCCAGCCATCTGTGAGCAGCCAAGAGTGGCTCTGCTGTGAGACCCTTGCTGTGCATCTTCCTCACCAGCCCTCCTTGGATAGTCTTCTCAAGCAAAGCAGTGATCACCTGCTTGACACTAACTTACAATTGTAACGTGAGTGCAGGAAAAGGAACCAGACAATGGCCCATGTCCCACAGAGTGGCACATTTCTACCTCTGAGCCCCTTGGAGCTTCCTACCTTTGCGAAAGAAAATATTGCCAAATGACCCATGGGTCTTGTCTGAGTTTTTCTTCATGGACTGGAAGCTGCTCCTCTCTACCACCAGCTGGAGCTGTTCCTCAGTCAGAGGAATTCCAAAGAACGTGGCTATGTTTTTCACACTCAGGGCAGGATTCTGGAAAGAGGAAGGTATCATATGGCATGACTTTCAAACAAATGACTCTGCTTTCCAAGGTGTTTACACATTCCTATATCGCTCTGCTGGCTGCATACATATCATATTCACAGAGTTCTCTAGGACTAGGGTGACCCAGTGTGTTCCTCTTCTCCATAATTATTTTGGAGGAGACATGCGCTGCATTCCTGTAGATTACAAAATATTATATATGATTTACAGGTGAGCAAAATCTACACTGCTGAAAATATTTAAGCTCCTTCCCAAAAATATTACTGACAATTGAGATTTATAATTATTTGGGCTTATATCACAGATAAATAAAAATGAAGAATCACTTTCCCAAGGAAAATATTACAAAGGTTTTTAAGTTTGAATTTCATCTTTTCATCACTTAAACCAAAAAATTTTCACACCCAACTTGGATACCCTGCATGCATATAAGGGTGTATTGGTTCAGGAATAAAATGCCCTTGAAGTCTAAAATAGTTGTAACTATTGACAACCTTACCTCTTTTACTTCTTCATAAGTAATTGTCATAATATTTTCTTTGTCAGCATATTTGTTCCATTCAGAAAGGTATTCAAAATAGCTTCCCCAAGCCACTAAATAAAACAAAGGATTCTAAGATGAAGCATAAATTAAGATTGTACAAGTTTTGCTGATTAAGTTGGGTTTGCCAAGAGCTTTATTAATCATGTCTAAGGCAGGGTTTACACACTTCTGTAGGATATATAGATTTCACTTCAGGCCCAAACATATGATACATTTTCTAAAGCAGAAAATAAAACTTGTAAACTTTTAAAGAGAGCTCTGAGTTCACTAAAAAAGCTATCGTCTTGCCAACCATCTTGTAAGAATCCCTTTCTCCAGTCTAAAAGTTGTAGAACCCTCTCTTCTGCTGGCCATGTGCTATGCCAAACTCATAAACTTAAATCAGTGCTATCACTTTTTCTGTTTTGTAATGCATTAGAATTAGTCCCCTTTATAATGCACTAGGCATAGTCCAAATAATTCCTTTTGTCCAATTTGGCATGGAGGTGATTATATATCACCACAGACACATGATGTTGGACATAGGAGAGCAAGAGGTAAAGGGTACCCAAGATAGAGTTCAGAAAGAGCTGCTTTTTCCAGGAAAAATACCAGTATGTACAAATTAAGAAAGGCTCTGGAATTGCAGTTTTAGTAAACATTAAACTCAAGCAGTAAGACAAGTAAGATAAACTTCAGATTTCTGATTCTCTGTCTTTAATCTCTCTGTCTTTTCTACTGTAAACTAAAAATACTAGTGAAGCTGATTTTCCAAAGAACAAAGGTTTTTACACAATAACAAATCATTGGACAATTGACATAGTCAGAAAAAATATACTGTACTTTTCTTTGTCATGAAATCTGTGAAGAAATCATCCCAGGTCTCATAGGAGGGAAGAAGTGCCAGGGCATTGGAAAAATGGTAATAAGATGTAGCAACATCTTTTGGATTACGAATCAGTAACAATATCTAGAAAAAAATTAAAATATTATTTATAGAGAAAGACGTAGCAGACTACAGCAAAAAAAAAAAAGAAATAACAACAATATACTTTATAATTGCAGTTGGGGATTTCTAATACCTTGTGTGCTCCTTGCAGAAGTAGCAATTTCATTCCCAATTCAGAAGGTGCAGTATTTAACTTTGCTTTAGTACCATAAGAAGATGGTTGCCGATAATTATTATTTTTTACAGATATTTTTATTATCTTTTTATTATTGAACCAAACTGATTCACTTGAAACCATTATTATCTTTTACAGATAATTATCTTTTTTTTTTATTATTATCTTTTACAGATTACCCAAATTATTTATGCATAATCTAAGTATGCTTTGCACAATACAAGCATAGTTCATCATTTAAGTGGCAGGGAAAATTCACAAAAATATAAATTCTCATGGAAATTTGACACATTGAAGCCCTCACTTGTAACAATGCCATAAAATTGCTCCCACAGGAAATCACATCAAAATCCATTTTGCCTCTGGAGGATTTGTTCAAGCCCTTCAACCCTCTTGTGGAAACTGTCACATAGGAGCCAATAAGGGCAAACTGTGGTTAAGTGAGGTGAATGGCACTTCTTAAATATGTAGAGCCTTAAACACGTAGAAATGGCCAGGCTAAACACTTGTGTAAAAGAGACTGATTCTGAATATTGGCAAGAAAGCACTACATTGGCTCTTTACAAAAAAAATTAATCGATTGAATTGTTTGTTTTCATACATTAAAATCAGCACTCACCTTGGCATTTGTTTTGAAGATAGATTTGGGAAGATTTTCAGGACGGAGATGAGTAACCATAAATCTTGGAGAAGGTAATTTGGTCATTCGCTTGAAGAATTGGAAGGGGGAAAGGGGACAGTTCAGTTAGTACAAGTATTCTTTTCATTAACCTATGCTAAAATGTGGCCTTGATGAACTAATCTACAGTTATTGACTCATTGAATTGTTTTCTTTTTTTTTTTTTTTTTTGGTAGTGAGTTTTGTCCTGGGATATTAGTGGGCTGCTCTGAGTAGCACTAATCATCACAAGCCAATGAACAATTGGAAAAAGGACTATCCATTTTTTGTTCTCTTCAGTGATAGATCTCTTCAGGTCTGGTAGACAAGGGATCAAACCTAGAGGTGGGGTACAGATTAGCTGTCTCTGAAAGCCGAAGCATCTCAAGGACTGAGAGAGGGGAGGAGGAGGAGGAAGAGCTAGTAAAAGAGACAAATGCTAATATTACATGATTTGACACTTCATGAAGCTCTTCTTAAATACAAAAGATGATATATTGAACTTCTGAACTTATGTCTCACAGCTATGTCCTCGTCTCAGTCCCAATAAAGTGTCTGTTTATTTGTATGTGTTCAGTATTTGACAGTCCAGAGAGATTTCTCCTGACTAGATGCCACATAAAAAGGAGTGGTAAAGTTCTTATCAAACAATAGAATAGATCATATATCATATATTCAGTATTTGAAGCACATAATGTTGATAATTTCCATACATATTCTCTTCCCACCTCATATTTCCCAGCATCTCCAATTTCGAAGTATGTTTCTTCTTCTGGTTCTTCAGCATTCACACTGCTTTCACTACCTGGTGTTTTCTTTTGAGATATGGCTATCAGGTCAGTTAAGATTTGACTTAGCCAGTTTGTGCCTGAAAGAAGAAAAATACAGAAGTGCTTGCAAAACTTTTGGAATGGACAGAAATGGATTTACCAAGAAACTCAAGAGGTGCTAGTACTACCAGGTGAGTTACCTGGTCTCCTTTCATGTCATACAATCACAGCTGACTGTCTGGTCAATCACCACCCAGGATCCTATCTTTGCTCCTCATAAGGAGATATTTCTCCAACTTGAACACTTCAGTACACTGTAAACTAACTTGTATACTGTAAACTGACTAATCAGGGAGAAGAACCACAGAGATTCAACTAGGAAAACTGGCATAAATTCAACTAGGAAAAACAGCATGTAATAAATTTTATTATGACACATGTAAGGGAGACTGGGGTGGTAATCTTGTACTTTAAAACCTAATACATAAAGTGTTTTCTTGTGTGCTGGAATACCTTCAGAAGAAAGATGGGTCACAGTACTTCAAGACAGGAGCAGAACGAGATCTGAAAATTGTGCGTACATTTTCTTTAACAATGACAAAAACCTCTCTGAAGTGACATTTCCTAGACACGCTTGTTATCTTTTTCTTCAAAAGATAACAAAGACCCTGCATAGATCTCCCATCTCTGATTTACCATGTCCTGACTTCTGGACGCTGGGTCCCTACATCTTTCTCACTGCAATCTTAACAAGGGCATTCCAGTGCATAACATTTCTCCAAAAAGAAAATACAATGAAATAGCAAAAACTGCACGATCCGCTCAGCTGTGACTATTCACTGTGAGGCACTGTGAACCAATTGCTGTAAGAGAGAAACAGCAAGATTAAAGCGTATATGAGGCAGATCTGATCCAAACATTTAGCTTTCATGTGGACCAGTGCTTGAGGTACATTGAGGAAATATGTAGGGTGAACTTGCAACCCTAGGAAAGATGTCCTCTTGATTTTCTTTAAAGAATACTTAAAAACAATGTAATCACTTCAAGGTCTACCAAAATATTTTTGATAGATATTTCCTTACATCTATGTGAAATAAACCAGTTCACCAAAGGTTCCATTGCAAAAATATAAAGCTCTTAACTTTACCAACATACATGTGGGAGTAGATAGTGGGATATCAGGAGATCGAGTTACCTCTGGTGTAAAAAACTGTATTTTGATTCTCTCCAATTTGTGCTTTTAATTTGATAACTATGAAAAGTAAAAATAACAAAAAACTTTACATGCTATAGAAAAGAAAATAGAATGTTTTTCACAGACTTTTTCCTATATCAAATATTCATAAACAATTGCTGATGCTTTCTGAGAATGAAAGCAGTTTTACAAAATTTGGTGAACATTCTAAATACAATTATTTAGCATAATATCATATTATGTATCATATAATATATATTTAATACATTTAGTACAAACCTTGTTACTTACTATTACAGAACCTTGTTTTTAAAGAAATTAAAATATATTCACCGGATTTAGGGTATCCTGCCAAAATTACATCATCCTTTCTGGCTTCAAAGGACTCAAAGGCTTTGAAATTTTCAGGACTGCAAACAGTAGTAGGGTAGAGAATTCCCTTGTAAGAAAAGAGCAGTTCATCACGATGCATGGAGTTAGCAACTGCTACTGCCTTATCTAGCAAACCAACAGGGTTTGTCCTGGACTTCTCCATTCTTCTTCTTTCTCTCAAACACAGGCTCTGTCACAGAATGAACTGCTGTGTAGAAGGAGAAACCCACAGATTGTCCTTTAATAGGTGCTTGGTTTGTTGTTCTCTTTTTTTTTCTTGACCCTATGAACAAGAACATACCTCTTTCTGAAGCTGTAAAGATATACTCAGCTCCTGTCAAAGAGCTTACGTAATATGAACCTTTGAAATCAATAGAAGTTGATCATAAACGAACAACATAAATGCAATTGCATTCTAGGATAAAGGGCTTAGATAATATCTAAGCATCACGCCAAAAATTCTGTGATTACAACTCAGAGTTTATAAAGAGAATATAAGAAAATAGAATGATGTTTAGTTAGATAGAATAGAATGCAGATTGGAATTGAAATGCCATGATGAAAATCCTCAAGGCAGTTCATCTCTTTCCAGTACTTGCTGCTGGGATTTCCTTTTTTTCTTTATTATGTCACCCATCATTCTCCCCAAAGTTAGATAAAATGTGTTGGGACTGGGAGAGAAGATGTTCAGTGCACTAGAGACTGAGCTGAGGACACTCCTGTGAGTGTGGCCGGCTGCTCCCTGCTGCTGGAGCCCAGGAGGGCACAGGGGCACAGGCACTCTTGGGCCACTCATCAGACTGCACTACAGAGGTCTGTTTTCCTGGTGTCTACTCAAAAATTACTCATTTCTACATTTCTTTAATGAGCTCAATCATTGTTTGACAACTGATCAGTGCTTAGGCAGGTGGTGACAATATAACCTCAGCTACAGTGAGTAGTGTTTATCATGCACTTCACATGATGAGCTGCTGACTGCAGTGACCCCAGAAAAGGAACTGGCTTTAGACTCAGGTTCAATATTTAAGTCTCTGGCAAAAGGATGGATATGTCACAAAAAATGAGAAAATAGTTCTCCCCCAAAATTTATGCCAAGAATTTACATGCCATCCTTTCGTATCTCCATCTCTTGACTGCTGCCTGTTGGGCACTGGAAGGAATCAGACCAGTAACTACATACCTGCATGCTTTTGCCATTTGCTCTCCCCAAGGGATTCAAGAGAGATCCAGGGCTCTCCCTGGTCCCTGAGCCATAGTGCAGTACTCATGGGATGATCTAGCCCTACATTTTTACATCTACTTTTTCCAGTCCATACAAAATCCTTTGCTTTTCCCTTCATTTCCCTTCTTTCTGTAAAACATTGTCAGCATAGAAAGACTACCTATGTACAGGCATAATCTGAAACCAGTGGATATCACATGGCCTGGTCCATCTGATCAATGACGAGTGCCAAAGGGCACAAAGTTGGCACTACCTGCTCCATTTATTTCACTGACATCAGCTAAAAATTGCTGTCCTATGAAGTAGCACTTCTGATGATCCTTCATGTGCAACTAGCCACCCTAGCAAAGCAAAAAGCAGCTTACTTTTCATCCTTATCTTCCCTTGGCATTAAATTGTCATAGACTCAAGATAACAAAATTAGTTTACTTGGTATTTTTACATCCTGGCAAAAAAATTATTTGGGAAAAGCCTTCCTAAGGGTGGAAAAAGTGGGAAAATTACCTGTAAATTATGAGTGTCACTTCATGCACTAGCATCGTGTTGGAGTAGAGTTTCCAAAATTTGAAAAGTATTTCAGAGAAAACTTCCGAGGATTTCCAGTGTATTTTGGCAAGAAAGGGTAATCATGCCAATAATTTCTGGGAAGAATATTTTATCCTTAGGAACTAGGGGAAAAAAAAGCCAAACTCGGTATTTGTGGAGAAAAATATAATTAGAAGACATAAATCATGAGGAGGGATTTTGAGGGCAGTCATATTTCTTGACAAAAAAAGAAGCAGGATCAAGATTTCATAGTGTGAGCCTTTGATACAGACATCTGCCATGGCACCTGAGCTGAGAGACAGGAGGAGAAGTGCCTAACCCCACCTATAGGATATAAGACCCAGCAGTGATCCTGCTAAATAGTGAATCCAGAGACTGACAAGAAAGCATCACTTGATTCAAAATTTCTAAGAAGTAGCTTTAAAACATGCAGTAAAAGCAAATGAAAAACAGATAAAAGGATTTTATTATCTACAGATTAATGGTATTTGTAGTTCAAGCCATCTCCATTTCTTTGAAGGTTTCTGACTTCCCACACTGACCAGACCTGGTATTGGAGCTTTGCAGAAGGAGGCTGGAGACATTTCTGTGACAGCTACAGGACAGTGCCAGATGGCCCTTACATAGTGCACTGATCTGCCCATGCAGATCCATTCCCTGTTAAATGAAACAGCTTCAAAGAATGAAATCTTCAAAACATGTGCTCCCAAATGCTAAATAAGAAGAGGTATGTGTTTATACTTATTTCTATGATCTGCATTTATCTCAGTAAAACTCTGGAGAAGGCTTCCATAAATTAGTTCTCTAAAAGAACCTACTCCGTGTTTAGGTAGTTCCATTCAGATTGATGCCTAAAAACTCGCCTGATCATTCATCTGCAATAACAACAACAACAACAAGAACAATAACGGCAAAGAAAAGTCTGCAAGGGCCGTGAGATGCCCTGAGCTTCTGTGATTGAGCCCATGAGAAGCTGGGCTTAAAGTAGAATTTGCTCTAAAATGGAAATGTCAAACGCGTCATTTTCCCCTTTGCATAAGTTAGTGTGGATCTGATCAGAGGAGAATCAAAGCCTTCAAACTGAGCCCAGGGGGTGAGGATGGCTTAGGTTACGAGGCCACAGCTGTCTGCACACCCACAAAGGAGCACAGCAGAGCAGTGAAGGGGGAATCAAAACAGTACCCTGCCCACAGACTCCCATGGCATCAGCTCATCCAAGGCCCGTCTCCACAAGCTCAGAGGAGCTCAGGCAGAGTGGAATGCAAGTTAAGGACTCTTAATAAAGGGACTGCACCCTGTCCAGGACCCCTCTATGGCTGTTCCAGGAGAGCTTCAGACCCAGTGTCCTGGTGGGAAGATGGTCCATCAGAATGATCAGTGCAGGAGAACTTCTCCCGGTGAAGACTGGCAGGGGCTGCTGTCTGGTGGTATAGGCACATAAAGAAATGCAGAGGAACAATTTCTCATGATTGCACATGACCTATTATGTCAGGATTACATGACAGGTAGGAAGCAACTGCCAGGAAACAAATTATGTACCAGCCTGCATGATACCACTAACGTTGACTTTACAATATAGATAGTACTGAAACAGAGATGAAAAATAACTAATCCCCAGGACCAGATCAGGGTGGATTTTCTTGACTTCTCTAAAAGGCCCTTTGGGCCAGAGAACTAATGTGTTGTACACATTTCTAGGATCCTCCTTCATCTTTTCTTCTCCTCTAGAATAGTAGAGTCTTTTTCATGCTGGTCGCCTTTCCTGACCAAGTCAAAGCTTGTCATAATATCTGATTGCTCTACTACAGATTATTTACACAAGCATATCTTGCTCTTTCTTCTACCCAGAATTTCCCTGCTTATCTCATATACCTCAGGATCCCCAAATTCTAGATGCTGAAATGTCTCTAGCTTCTTTTCAGCATTTATTCTCTCTTTCATTTCCTCTTCTGTATATTTGGTATCTGCCAACTCCTCCGCCATTTGTTCAAGCCAATTGGTTCCTGAAAGGTAAAGACACCAGTAGAAATCCATTCCACTTCACTTTTTCATGTACACCAGGCAGATGTAAGTACTGTCTAACTGGTTTCAAGTGAATCAGTTTGGTTCAATGTTGTACTTTAATCTTTTAACAAGAGTGTGTGCTGGTTTTCACAGCAATGGAATTAATTTCCCCATAGTAGCTGGTATGGAACTATGTGTTGAATTTGTGCTGAAAACAATGTTGGTAACACAGAGATGTTTTAGTCATTGCTGGCAGTAATTACACAGTGTCAGGGCCTCCTCTGATTCTCACACTGATCTGCCAGAGAGTAGCTTGAAAGTGCACAAGAATATTAAAAGGGGACACAGATGGGACAGCTGACCCCAACTGATCCAAGGATTATTCTATCCCATATGGAGTCATGCTCAGCAATAAAATGTGAGGGAAGAAGAAGGAAAGAGAGATGCTGAGAGCTAAGGCACTTGTCTTACCATGTCACTGTCATGAGTGATGGAGCCCTGGACACAGCTGAACATTTGACTGGTGGAAGGATAGAATGAATTCCTTACTTTGCTTTGCTTGCACACATAGCTCTTACTTCAGGTATTTAATTGTCTTTATTTCAGCCATGACTCCTCTCACTCTGTTTCCCTCCCCCATCCCATTGCAGGTGAAAGAGTGAGTGGCCCTGTGGGGCCACTGAGTTGAGCTGGGAGTTGCCAGCTGAGGGTAAATCACAGCCCTGGTGAATAATCAACCAGGGTGTGCCCAAGGTCAAAGGGGCAGAGCTGTTGAGCAGACACTGTGGAGTGCTACCCTGCTGGCTTCAGGGTCACATCTCATCCCTTGGCAGAAGCAGAAGCAGACCTCTATTGCTCTTTTCAACTCCTTTCAACTTCCCTACTTATTGGTTACAACACACTACTCCAGAAATGGATACACATCCCAGGATAAAGGTTCCTTACAGGCAATGGCTCTGCCCTGCAACCAGGCACTGTAAGGCAGTGTCCAGACCTGAGGACAGGTATCACCCAAACCAGATTTCTCAGGATGAAATACTCACATCTGAGAATTTTATGCCATTCAGTCTGACAGGAGGGACACTTGCATGTGAAGTTTTAGTGCAATAGTGTAAATCGAATTCTACTTGTACTACTCACTTCCTTTTCTCTCTCCTCAATGTCCATAATTTAATCTTTGGGTGAAATTGTTCATTCTGGGGCTGTTACTTGTGTTTTGAGGGACACTATTTTAGAAGATAAGGAGTGCTGAGATGGTGAAATGTTTTCTCCACTGGTCATCCCAACAGAGAACAGGCAAAGGAAGGTGAATTACCCTGTGAAGGGGTTTTCCACTCTCTTTCGTGCCCTTGAATACACTATGGATCTCATTCACTACCCATATATCAAACCCTCTTATCACATCCTTGTCTCTTTCTTCATAAATGGATGTTAGACACAAGATTAATT